TTCCGAAGTGCATCAAAAAAAAGAAAGCCTGACACCCGTGGTCTGAAGATAGCAGAAATGCAAGTGAAGAGGTGATCCTGGACTAGTGTGACGAGCAACACATTATGGTCCTGGATGCACAGGTGTTGGGGAACACACCCTCAGCTGAGACACAAGGTAACTTCTAAGACTGCCAAGTGGGTTGAGACAAACCTGGGGAACCTGTGTCAAGAAGAGAGAACTTTTGCTGAGGTTAAGGGTCCAGAGAGTGCAGGGATTTTCTTTTTTGTGTGAGACAGGGTCTTGCTCCGCTGCTTAGGCTGGAGTGCAGTGGCAGGACCACAGCTAACTGTGACTTCAAACTCCTGACTCAAGTGATCATCCCCCCTTAGCCTCCCAAGTAGCCAGGGCTACACACAGGCACCACCGTGCTGGCTAATTTTTGTGTTTTTTGTAGAGACAGGGTCTCACTATGTTGCCCAGGCTGGTCTCAAATTCCTGGGCTGAAGCAATCCTTTCACCTCAGCCTTCCAAAGTGCTAAGATTACAGGTGTGAGCCACTATGCCCAGTCAGGATTTGGGGTGAAAGGTAAGATGACTAGTGCTCTTAGACTTAGTGGTTAGGGGAAGAGGTGGGGCAATTTGGAAAGCACAAAAGAAATTGAGAGACAAGAGTAGCCTGCCCTTGAAGTGGTTTGAAGGCATGTCACAGAATCTGGGCATGATCCTAAACACCATCTGGGGGTAGAGGGCCTTTTAGGGTGCTGAAGGATTTTTAGACAGGGGAGTGACATGGTCAGATTTGAAATTGTTCTGAGGTAAATGGCTTGGGAATGGGTATAGCTGGGTTCTAGGGTGTGGAAAGAGAGCCTAGAGACCAGAGACCCTCTTGAGGCTGTCAGAAGTATGGTGGTGGCCTGGCTGGAGTCATGACAGTGAAAGTGAAGAAGAAGAGACAGGGACACATCTAGACATAATGAGGAGGGGACAAGCTAGGGGCTGGTCACTGACAGGAGGTGGCAGTGCTTGGAGCCCCAGTCTCATCACATTGTGGACTTTGGTGGCCACATTGTGTAATGACCACCTTGCAGAGTTCTTATGGGATCAAAGGCAGCAGGGAAAATGTCACTTCTTTTATAAACACAAGCCAGAGGCAGCCAGTGACTTACTCGGTCAAGGTCTTTCAGGGAGCACCAGGTGCCACTGGTCTTTCCTGCCAGACTTCCTTACCTTCCACTCTTTCTCCCTGCTGGCTCTGCAGGGCATACTTGTCTTGGCATAAGTAACATTTCATGGAACCCTGGCAGGAGAGTGAGAAGGAAGGTACTGTCTGTTCTTCCAGGCCTGCCGCAGACCTTGAGGGAGCCACAATAAATGCTGTTTATTTGATAAAGCACTTGGCTTTTGGTCTGGCAGGAGGAAGAGCTGGAACAGGTGTGGCAAGAGCTGGTGGCTGTAGCACCACAGTGGGAGGTGGGTGAGACAGCCCCCGGGCCTGGCAGGGGGTTCACAGCTATGGCGTTTGAAGAAAACCAGGGACTTTCTCATGACATGAGCATCTCTCTCATATTCCCAGGCCCTTGCCTGGCTGAATATACCAAAAGTTGAAAGATCCAAATTTGCATTAAGTGAACTCCTATTGGTGCCTAGCATGGTGCAAGGTGCTTTTCATACAAGCAGACACACCTTCATTCCATGGGTATTTCTGCCCAGCCTGCCAAGCCAGCTGGCACTGGATGCTGCAGACAGAAACTGAGGACACTGTCCCTGACCTTGGGAACTGACCTTCTGGTAGGGAAGTCTGACAAGAAACCAAACCACAATGTACGGTAATGTAGCGTGTGCTGATGGGGAGACAGTGGGCTGCATGGGAACCTAAAGGATGGTTCAGCTAAGCCTCAACACAGCCCAGGACTAATATTATACCTTTTTTGTTTATTTGTTTTGAGACAGAGTCTTGCCCTATCACCCCAGAGAGAGTGCAGTGATATCATCATAGCTCATTGCAACCTCCGACTCCTGGGCTCAAGAATCCTCCTATCTCAGCCTCCTGAGTAGCTGGGATTACATCATGCCCAAATAACAATTCTATTTGTTGTAGACATGGGATCCTGCTGTGTTGCTTAGGCTGGTCTGAAACTCCTGGGCTCAAGCAATCCTCCCACCTTGGCCTCCCAAAGTTCTGGGATCACAGGCATGAGCCAGCCTGCCCTGCCTTTATATCCATTTTGTAGATGAGGAAACTGAGGCTCAGAGGAGTGAACTGCACTCTTTACATAGTCACTTTAGTTCTGGCTAATTTTCCTCTGTAGGAGATGACAAGACAGGGGTGGAAAGGACAAGTTAGAGGGCCCTTGTGGGTCATCAGGTCCAGTCCCTTCTTTTAAATGGTGGAGACACTTTGAACTGGAAGAGGAAGGGATTTCCTCAGAGCCACACAGGAGAGCAGTAGCCAAATTGGATCTAGAAATCAGGTTTCCTGACTCCCAGGTCAGGGTGTGTTCCTTGATACTAAATGCCTCTCTCTTTTCCAGCTGTCCAAAGATTCCCTGGGACCTGGGACCCTCCTCAGCTTATGGTCTGCAAACTTCACCATCTCTGCTTAGGCGCAGACTCCAGGAAAGGATAAAAAAGAAAGTGAGTTAGGACAGACCCCAGAGCCAAATGAGGATGTGTGTGCATGTAGGGTGCAGGGACAAGATGGGGTGCAATACTTCCTTCCCTAGTCCCCTCCAAGAGGCCCCAGGAGAGAGACTGAAGGACAGGGGAGAGTCTGAAACTCGGAAGACCTACACACCCATGCCCAGGATTGAGTCTGTCTTCCTTCCCTACCAAATTCCTCTTCTTGGGGATGATGAGGTGGGCCATGGGAGTGGCTGGCTCAGAGTGTGGCTGGGAGGGATTTCGTCCATGCTTCCCTCTTGGAGCTGATGGAAACTGAGTAACCCTGCTCCTGTCTCTAGGGTTCCTTGGCTCCCCTGGCCAGAGACTGCTGAGGTGGCAGCTGATACAGACCCTCAGTCCTTAGCTCACTTCTCCTAAATCGTATCCCAGGGGAGCCCGCAGGGGAGAGAGTAACCCACACACCCTGTCTTTTCCTAGAATCTTAGAGAGTGACCTAAGCTAAGGTACACATACTATTAACTCACTTCCTCTTTCTTAGGCCCATTGAGGTGACAACATGTGGGTGTTTCTTAACTAGAGAATTTTTCTGGATCTAAGTGGAGTGTTCTAAGAAATCTAGCTGCCATGGGGACCTTTTGCTTTAGCTTTGCTGCAGCCCAAAATGTTCCAAATTCAATAATTTAGAAATAATTTTAAATCTCCATAGCAAATACCTGTGTGATCCTTGCTCCTTCTTGAATTGTTCGCTTGGCCCATAAATCCATTTCTAAGCAAACCTCTTAGACACAGAGTCTATAGCGGCTGCTTTCATCTCTCGCCCACTGCTTTCTTTCCCATCCACTGCTTCAGCCCCCATACCTTTTGCTAAGGCTACCAGTGGCCACCTTGGTGTTCATAATACTATGACCAGTCCCAGGATTTCATCTTGCCTGACCACTTCTGTAGCCTAAGATACTGTTGCCAACACCTGCCTCCTTGAAACTCCTTTTTTTTTTTTCTTTTGGTTTCTGAACTGACCTCATCCACTCCCCTGGTTTCGGTTGCCATTTGTATGCTACCAACTTCCAGGTCTACCAGATCTCTCTATATTCTCTTCTACTTCCTGGATGCCTCTACCTGGATGTCCCACAGGCTTGCCAATCTCTGTATAGTCAAAACTGAACCCCTCATCTTAGTCTCTGTTGTGGTGAATGGCACCATTCCTGCAGGCAAGGAGAGTGGTTTCCAAACAATGACCTAAGGCGGAAATTCCTTGATTCCAAGATCCTTCCCTGGAATCTTCCCTCTCCCTCACTCTGCCTATCTCCATGGCTCTCAGGTGCTGCTCATCTTGTTTCTTTAACAGCCCCCAGCAGGTTCTGACCACATACCTGGCACCGCTTTGTTTCTGGCCACCATGATCTCATGCCGCTGGGATGGGCTATTTCCTTTAGATCAGTGGTTCTCAGCCTATGGGTTGCGGACCCACAGGAACTGTATTAAAGGGCCATGGCATTAGGAAGGTTGAGAGCCACTGCTTTAGATGGTCTCCCTACTTTTATCTCTCCTGGATTCCCAGCTCCATGGGGGCTGCTGTAGAGATTTAGAACATAAATCTGACCAGGTACTCCCCTTGCATGACTCCCTAATACCCAGAGTAAGGTACAAGGTCCATAATTCCACGTAAGAGATTCTGCTTGGCCCATCGCTACTTCCTGGCTAGCACTGAGCTCCATCCAGTCATGAAGAATCTGTCACCCTTTCAAAGCATAGGGGCCATTACTACCACGCTCTGGGCCTGGGCTCCATCCCCTTTCCCGTCTGAACTTCCTGGGTTTTCTTCAACAGCCAGTGCAGTTTCCACATTGTTTACCTCAAGCTCCTGTGAGACACTTGAGAGTGTCTCACACCCCTTCTTAGTCCTCCCTGTCCTCCCTTGAGGGTCCCAGGAAGAAGATGATCCCTCTCTCATCTCTCTTTCAGGTGAAGAGATTTTGCCAGCTTTACTTTGGGTGGTTGTGTTTTATCAAAACCATAGGTCTTTTTGTTTGTCTTTTCCAAATGGGAAATCATGGTATGGAATGAGCTCTTTCCCACTGTACCCCAGAGATTCGGAATGCACAGCACACAGCAGAAGATGCAGGCTCCAAGTACAAACCAAATGGCACATCCTGCCACCTTCCCCTCACCTCCCCGGCCACAGCCTGCTGGAAGTGCTCTCTGGATTGGGTCTTGGCCATACAGGCTGTTTTTAGTTCATTGCCCGAATGGGCAGTGAGTAGGCAAGTGACCACCTAGTGACCAAGCTCAGCTTACAACTCCATTTTCCCTCTAAACTCCATCCCGGCAGGGCAACAGGAGAGCCGATCCAGCCAAGGCCGACCTCTGAGGGGGCGCTCAGGACAAGGAGGCTCCAGTAACTGCAAAACGAAATGCTTTTATTGAAAAATATTAAGTGCTCCATGTCATGGCTACCGATCCCTGCCCATGACGGGCTTTGGGGCAGCGGCCCGATGGGGCTCGACAAAGCAGGCAAGTATCGGCGGGCACCCCAGCCCCGCGCTCCAGAAGGGTGAGGTTTCACTGTCCACGCGGGTTGGTTTTGGGGTCCCGCAGTTGGCTCCCCAACCCGCAGAGAGGTGGCAGCTGGGGCAGCGGCACTGAGATGGCCCCTTCCAGTCCAGAGAGTGGGCTTCCTGGCATCCTCGATGCAGGGCTGTAGGCTGGACTGGTGGGCGCTCCAGCTCTTGGTGGTGGTGGTGGTGGTGTCTCCTGCGTCTGCCTCCTCAGACGTAGTCCTTGCGGTCGTAGGCTGTGCTCGCAGCCGGTGCAGGGCCGGCGGAGCGCGGTGCGGAGTAGAGGACTTTGGCGGGCTGGTACTTCTTCTCGCGCGGTGGGCAGGAACAGCAGAGCAGCGCGCCCCCCAACAGTTGCAGCCCCGCGGCTGCCCAGCCCACGTACAGGCCGGCGCCCATCTCACGCTTCTGCGCCTCCGGCACCAGGGGGTTGTAGAAGTCCCGGATGATGGTGTTAGCCGACCAGGACACCGGCACCAGGGTGAGCAGGGCGGCCAGCAGGAAGAGCACACCCGCCACGATGGTGATCTTGGCCTTGGCCGTGTCATCCTGCACGCAGTTGGTGCACTGGGCGCCCACGAGCGCCACGAGCAGCCCGAAGGCGGCCACCAGGATGGCCACTACGATGAGGGCGCGGGCCGCCTGCAGGTCCTGAGGTAGTGCCAGTAGCGAGTCGTACATCTTGCACTGCATCTGGCCAGTGCTCTGCACCACGCAGTTCATCCACAGGCCCTCCCAGGTGATCTGCGCGGTGATGATGCTGCTGCCGATGAAGGCCGACACGCGCCACATGGGCAGCGCGCAGCACACGATAGTGCCCAGCCAGCCCAAGACGGCGAGCGAGGTGCCGGTGATCTCCAGGCCCATGGACATGGCTGCCGCGGCAAGGCCCGCTCCACCGGGCGGCTCCGGGTGCGGGGAGACAAGGGGCAGGGGCGAGAGCTGCGGCTCGCCGACGGACCGACAGACGCCGGGACGAAAGGACACACGGACCGACGGCCGCCCGGAGGGCTCGCTAACGGCTTGGCTTGAAACGCTCGCGTTACGGCTGCGCCTGCACCTGCCTGTGGCTTTGTGGGAGGGCGGCGGCGACTCTGCTAGCCCTGGGCTGGGGCCCGGCAGTCTTAGCTAAGTGCCCAGCGCACTGGCGGGGGCGGGAGGGGCGGAGCCGCGCTCTCTCGGGCCAGGGGACAGTGACGTGGACCCCCCTCCCACTTTCACAGAGCGTCCTGGGAGGAAGGACTTGGCCCCGAGCGGCGCATGGCGCCGGGGTGGGGGTACCAAGACGGGGCGGGGCCTGAACCCCCCCACGCCCCACCCTTCGGTCCTTGTCCCCCAGCTGCTCAGAGACGAATTCTCCGGGGTAAACTGGGCGAAGGGATGCTTCAGGAGTTGGGGGTGCAAATCACTAACTGTTTGACTGCCCTCCTTGCCATTTTCGGCGCCTTTGGTGCGGGCAGCGTTGGGATGGGGGCCTGCCAACCACCCAGGCCGGACTGGCAGGTCCCCCTGTGGGCGTGGCCGCAGCTGTTTGCCGGAGTGGGCGGCTTCTTCTGGAGCTGTGCACCTGCTCCCAGATGGCTCCAGCCTCCGAGGCAGCACGCACTTTGCGCAGGCCCGGCCTGATTCAGGACGGTGGGGTTGTACTGCCTGGGAGGTGCTGGGACCGGAAGCAACCCGAAGATACCCTTGAGCCCATCTGAACCAAGATTCGTCTGTAGCCCCCTTCAGTTCCCATCGTTAGCCATAAGCCTGGATGACTTTAGCTGAGCAGCACTTCCCTTCCTGAACCCTGTCTTCAATCCCTTTGAGCCCCAATCGGAGCTGGGGTTCACCTTAATTAAGTGGGGTGAAAGCGGCTTGACCCAGGCAAAAGTGGGAAGTCAGAAACGTTGCCTGTAAAGCCTTTGGTCCCACACCTGGACAATCCTTCACCTGGCTCTGAGCCCTTCAGAGTTGGCTTTGAGGTTCTGTGCGGGCTGCCCTCACCCCCTGCTTCTCTCTTCTCTCTTCTCACTGCAGCCGCTGGGGTCTCCTGGCTTTCAGGAGATCCTGCCTCAGGGTCCCTGTGCTGGTTGTCCCCTCTGCACTGGATCCTCCTGCGGTATCCACATGTCTTTCCCTTAACCCCTTTTAGGTTTTTGCCCTCAGTGCATCCTTCTCTGACCCCCCTATTTAAAACTGCAGCTTCTTACCCAACAATGACCTGTCCCCTTTTCGTACTGTATATTCCCCTTGGTGTCTGGTTTTTTTTTTTTTTTATGTTTTTGTTTTGTTTTAGAGACAAGGTCTTACTCTGTCTCCCAGGCTGGAGTGCAGTGGTTCACCACAGCTCACTGTAGCCTCAAACTCCTGGGTTCAAGCAATCCTCCTGCCTCAGCCTCCCAAAGTGCTGGGATTACAAGTGTGAGACACCTTGCCTGGGTTCTCTTGGCCTTTAACACCATTTGACATACTTTAAATTTTTATATTTTTCTTATTTACTTTTATTTTATTTTCTCATTGTACTTAAAAATTGACAAACAATAACTGTAGGTATTCATGGGGCACAAGGTGATATTTTGATACATATACTGACTGTATAATGATCAGAGGGTAATTAATACATCATCTCAAACATTTACCGTTCTTTTGTGCCAGGAAGGTTCGCTAAAACTTATTTATTTTAAATTGTTTCTGTTCCAGTCTGTCAGCTCCACTGGGACATCCACTATATCCCCAAATGGGCAAAAATGTTGCTCATCCCCTGTGCCTAGAACCTTGCTAAGTACTCAAGAGATAGTTGATTTAGTAACTTAAATGAAGTAAAGACATCATTTTCCCTTAATTCAACAACCTTGGCTGCTGTAGATCAGCAACCTAGGAGGCTACTGGTATAAATGACTGATAAAGGGATACTGTGTTGTCTGAATTAAGGGATCTTTGCCTTCTAGTACAAACCAAGGACTCTTTCAGTGAGATGAGAGATCCCACTGTGCTGGGCCTAGGGAATTGTCTGTGTTGCCCATATCTCTCAAATCATGTAGATTGTGTCTTCTTCTATATATGCCTAAGCCCTTGGGTGACAGAAGAGTAAGGTAAACAGAGCTCAAGACCCATAGAAACTAGGGTCCTCCTTCTTTCGGGAGCAAAGGTCTTGGGTTGGGCCTATTGGGCAGGGTCTGGGCAGACCTGGGAGTGCCTGGCCAGAGGGCCCAGCTGGTGCTGGGTGGGGCTGCCCTAGAGGAAGTTTGTATTGCCCAGGTCCTCCTCAGTGGACTATTGGCTACTCTAGTTTCCTGGTGACTGGAGGTGGCTTTGGGCCAGAAGAAAGGTGGAACCCCCAGGAAGTGTGGCTGGGTTTAGGTGGGGACTGAGGTCAGATGCTTTCGGCCATAGAGTGGGCCCCCACTGGCCTCCAGTTGTGCCTGGGTTGGGTGCCATGAGCTCTGACTCTTGCTGGCTTCAAGGTTAGTGAAAGTCACGTCACACCTCTTAGCCTCAGTTTCCTCTGTAAAACAAGAGAATAATGTTCATATGACTCACTTCACAGGTTGTGGTGAGAATGGAAGCGATGTTAAGTGTGTTGTCATGCAGAAAATAGCCAGGCACAGCATGAAAATGTGCAGAGAAATTGTTTGGAGAGAGGGTGGGGTTTAGTCTGACAGATCTGAATTTGAGCCTGGCTCCGCTCTCAAGGGTCATGAGACCTTGAGCAAGTCCTTTCCCCACCTCAAGCTTCAGTTTCCTTATCTGTGGGAGAGGGTTGTTCTGAGTTAGGGGGCTTATCTCTGAGCCTAAGTGAGCTGCTGAGCAGGGCTGCACACAGAGGAGGCAAGGACAGAGTTTCGTGCCCAGGGGCCAAACTTCAGAGACTCTGCAAATAAGACTTTGGTTCTTGGCAAATAGAGCTCCAATCAGCTTTTTGCCCAGTATCTACCAAGGTTCTTACAACTCAATAATAAAAAGACAAATAACTCAGTTTAAAAATGGGCAAAGAATCTGAACAGACATTTAGAATAGACAAAGAAGCTACAAAATGGCCAAAATAAGTGCATGAAAAGATGCTTATCATCATTAATCATTAAGGAAATGGAGAACAAAACCACACAGAAATACTACCTCACACCCACAAGTATGGCAGTAGTCATTTGACAAATGTTGGTGAGGATGTGGAGAAATTGGAATCCTCACTGCTGGTAGAAAGGTAAAATGGTACAGCTGCCTTTGAAAACAGTCTGGCAGTTCCTCAAAAGGTTGAACATAGAGTCACCATATGATTCAGCAGTTCTACTCTAGGCATTTACCCAAAGAAATGAAAACATACATTCACACAAAAGACTTATACAGGAATGTTCATAGCAGCATTATGGATAATAGCTCCAAAGTGGAACAAATCCTATATGTTAGTCCACTGATGAATGGATGAACAAAATGAGGTGTATCCATACAGTGGAACAGCCATAAAATGGAACATGTACTCAAACATGCTACCCCATGGATGAACCTTGAAACATTATGGTAAGGGAAAGAACCCAGTCACAAAAGACCATCAAATGTATGATACTGTTTACAAAAATTATCGAGAATAGGGAAATCTATAGAGACAAAAAGTAGGTCAGCAGTTGTCAGGGGCTGGAGTGAGGGTGTTGCTGGAATGCGTATAAGGTTTACTTTTGGGGGTGATGAAAATGTTCTATGATTGATTGTGCTGATGGTTGCAGAACTTTGAGCAGCGCCCCAGGCTTCTGTCACCCCACTGGCAGTAATCCTAAATGAGAAGATGTGGATTTGGGGGGTTATGTGGAAATCACATCTCAATAAAGCTGTTAAGATGAAAATCGCTGTGGTGCTTGGTGCCTGCAGGGTGTGTGTCTGTGAGCGTGTCACCTGAATGTGTTTGCCCAACAGGGTGGCATGCAGGTATCTTTGAATGGGAAGGGTGCTAAGTTGGTGGAAGGGGGGGAGACATATTGGACCCCCACTCTCACTCCGGAACCTCTTGTCCAAAAGCAGCAGTATGACCCACGGTGAGGCAGCTGCTCCAAGAATGAGCCCCTGAGATAAGTGACCACAGGGAAGGGAATTCTGTGGCTAGGCTGGTCCCGGAGGGCTTCCCATTGGAAGCTGGACAGGAGCTGGTAGAAATGACTGGGTGTGTTTGGGTAGAATGGTGTGTGTGTGTGTGTGTGTGTGTGTGTGATAGAGAGATTCCAAGGGGCAAAGGGCTCGAAAGAGAGGATCTGAGAGTACAGCACCCACAGCTAGGAGATTAGCTTGTTCCCTATCTTGCATCTGGTGCCCAAACTCCAAGAAGTAGAGTTCTCCCTACTGTGGCTATAGCAGCATTGTCTTTCTCCTGTCCCCAGTAGTCAATGTCTACTAGGGTCTGAGTCCTGCTGTCTCTAATGTTGGAAGAGGTTTGAATTGTGTGCAGCATGGAGGAGAAGAATCCAGGGCCTGTGGGGTTTGGGGTACTCTGTTGCCCTGTTGGGAGACAGGCCATGTGGAGCCCAGGGGGGAGGTTGCACAGGGAGCCCATCTACAGACACTGTGGTCACCAAGTCCTTGGGGAAGCATAATCTTTTGTCTGACTGCAGCGTCTGGGTGTCAGTATGGCTGTATGGTGTGTGGGTGTTGAATGTGCATGACTGTAGATAGGTGGGCAGCATGTGACTGATTTGGATAACTGAGTGTGGCATTTGTGGCAGGCTCTGTGTGTATGTGTGGGTGGGCAGTATTTGTATGTGGTCTGTCTGGGTGTGTGAGGATGAGAATGAACAAAAATGCAAATCACTAAATGTGTGTTTTAAACTTTGTTTTCAATTTCATTTGATCATAGCACTGAACTATGTTCCTGGTGCTTGGCCAGAGGTTGTAAACTGCAGCCTAAGGGCGGAATTTAGTCTGCAAAAAATTGTGTTTGATCAGCACAAAGTTTTTCTAAAAAATGAAATGGAACGCTTTTAGGTGGGGTATGCATAGTCCTGTTGCTACTGGTACTCCCTACTGATTTCTTTTGTTTTAATTAAACTTTTAACTTTAAGAAATAAACTTTTAATTTTGCAATCATTGTAGATTGATACACAATTATAAAAAAAAATACAGGTACGTCCTGTAGCCTTTATCTCTTTTCCCCCAATGATATCATTT